AAAAGAAAATGGAAACTACGATTTGGGGTACGTACGTAGGTTAAGGTATATCGGGATAATGGAAAAATGGAAACTACGATTTAGAGTTTAAAGGTTTAGGGTTTTTTCATATAACCCAAATCAGAGGCTTCCCCTGAAGCTCTTAAAGCAGATCTGCGACCCCCAACAAAGCGCCTCTGCTCTCCTCCCAACAGGAATGAAGCGACCTGAGCCAAGGTGGAACTGGGAGAGTATGCAGAATCAATGCTCCCAGGGTTGAAGGTGTATGGTTTAGGGCTTAGGGTTTAGGATTTAAGGTTTAGGGTTTAGGGCCTACCCTACAAGTTGGAGAGGCTTAGAAACCTCAACGTGAAACAGAAAGCTGGGTATCCTGAAGCTCAACCCTAAACCCCCAGACCTGAACCCTAAACCCCAAACCCTAAACCCCAAACCCCACACCCTAAACCCCAAAACCCCAAACCCTAAACCCTAAAGGCCCTAAAGCCCGAAACCTCACCCACCGTAGGAGCCTGGAGCTTGCACTCGACAGGCCACCATGCCTAATTTGAAATCAGCTGACAATTCAGGGTTTAGGAGTTACGGTTAGGGTTAAGAGTTTAGGGTTCAGGGTTTAGGGTTTAGGGTTCAGGGTTTAAGAGTTAGGGTTTAGGGTTCAGGGTTTAGGGTTCGGGGTCCAGAGCTTAAGTGCTCTAGTGTCCGGAAGGCTTAGGATGTGGCATTGGAGGGTTCTGGGTGTTAAGTAGCATTTGGGGTCTGGGTTGGAGGCTTAGGGTTTCAGGCTTTCGGAAAGTGTAGGACTTCAAGTTTCGGGCTCGAAGGTTTATCAAAGAGTTCTGATGTATCCCGCGCGCATGGATATGAACCCTAGACCATAAATCCTAAACCCTGGTTCCTAAACCCTAAATCCTAAACCCTAAACCCTAAATCCTAAACCTTTCTCAGAACCCGAGGCTGCTGGTCTGAAATTCCATGTAGATGAAGATTGGCTCTTTGGGCAGGGAAGGACGCCTTATGTTGATGTATAGTCTCCCTTAAGTAGATAGAATATGGCATTGGGTATATTATAAGAGGATCCCCATGTACCACATAGTCTATCTACTTAAGGGGGACTATATACCCAAAACGAGGCCTACATCGCTGTTGTCGGGCTGAGTCAAAACCCCTTGGCGAGGCTTGGATTCTAGATCAAGGGGGGGGGGACGGGTGTTTCTCGACGACTGAATGCTAGTGATGATGGATGAAATCTTGCACCACCTAGGGGCACTAAATTACTGTAATTCCTGGGGCTTTAGGGACTTAAGGTGGTGCAAGATTACCTCCATCAACAGTATAATGCACCTCCGAATAAGGGGGCTTTGACCAGGTATGCTCAACAAATTTGGAGTTTCCACGTTTCAAAGTCAACTTCCTCTTGGAGCCTCTGGATCAATATCATGGGTTCCCCAACCACCCCCCCCCTAACCTCTTTTCCACCAGCAGTTTTCCAAATAAATGATGGGCCACCGGGGCGTAGCAGTAGAACCCTAAACCCTAAACCCATAGGTGGGGTTGAGGGAATCAAAAGGCAACACTCTCCAGCATTCTTGCACCTCTGCTGGGTTGCTGTTAATTAGGGAACTTAAGTTAAGCTACCCTACTATAAGTATATAGTAAATAGCAGGGTTTCCTTATGATAGTAACTGAATATCAGATCCTCAACAGCAGCCACTCTTTTGGGAGATCAGCCCCACACAAAATTACTCTCCGTCCTCTCAGCACAGGTTACAGTTATGACCATTACTGAAGCTTCCATATCCACAAAATTTGAGACTTAAAGCTCCGACAGCCACTCATGTCTCAAAATGGCAGCCTGCGGAATAGCCCCACACGCGTCATAACTATTTCAGGAGTTACACCCNNCCCCCCCCCTCCAAAAAAAAAAAAAGTGCAACCCCCCAGGGTTTAAGGAGCTAATACGGACTATATGGAGCTTAATAAGGCCTAATAGGGTTCTAAAATTTAGGGAGTGTACATGGACGGGGGGGCACATGTCCAATTCCTAACTAGTCATAGCCAACACTGACGATGGACGGCCCCTCATGCGCACCTCTAAGTTTTAAGATATCAGGCTACTAGACTTGTATTTGGGGGTATAGTCCCCCTTAAACAGATAGAATATGGGGTATATAGGGCTCTTGTTATAATATACCCAAAGCCATACTGTTATCTACTTCAGGGGGACTATGCAATGACAGGTGCCCAGTTCCCAGGGCATATTACAAGCCAACTCATAGGCAATCTGTGTTCTCCCGATTTAGAGCAAGTGTCCAGATGAGCCTATTTCCTACTGTCGACACTTGGGCGGCGGCGAGAAGGCACAGCCCGAAACGCATCATGCCTTCCAGATCTTTCAGCCGGAAGATTGTTTTGGGTTTGGGCTTGGGGTATGCACCTGCTGGTCAGTCAGGAAAGTGGGATGTGCCCTGCGGGACTTTGCTCGGAGATTCCACAGGGACCAATTTAAACATTCATTCCCTTGTTCCCTACTAAACACCAAATAAGTTGGGGTACAACACTCTGGTTGCGAATGCTTTTGCCGTCTCACACATATCCCACAATTTTTGCGTATACAAGAAGAAATCAGCAGGGATAGCCATCGCCCCTACACGCCCCCAAAAAGAATCCTTGTCAAATAAGTACTGAAAAACCATCCTCGCGCTTGACGCTAAACCCCTAGACCCCAAGCCCATAAACCCCCAAAACCCAGACACCCTAAGCCCTAAACCTTAAACCCTGAAACCCAGACACCCTAAACCTTAAACCCTACATCCTAAACCTTAAACATTAAACCCTAAACCCCAAGCCCCCCAAACATCTGGCTTCGGCCTGTCATGCCCATGGCTTTGTGCCCTCTGACCACAGGCAGCTCAATCGCCAAGGGTAGATTCAAGGTTTTAGGGGTTTAGGGCTTAGGGGTTTATTGTTTAAGGTTTTGGGTTGAGGGTTGGGGGTCTAGGGGTTTATTGGTTTATTGTTTAGGGTCTAGGGATTAGGGTG